TATTTTCAGGCGAAGATAACCGGACAATTTTCGCCTTTATCTTTGTTGCGAATAAGGCTCCCAAGCGGTAGCAGAACATATTTATCTCATACACTTTCGTGGCTGGTACCTGTTTTCAATTGCTTTGCATGTTCACGGCAATTCGAGTTTCCCTCCAACTCTTGGCTGCATCATTGGGGACGCATCAGTAAGGACGCCGTATCAATCCAGCAGCAACTATAATCCCATAAGCGCAGGAAAAAACTGCCCACGCATCCAGCATGATAACCTAGGGATGGAGGGGCAGCCGAATCATTAAACAATGATCCCTTTGGGGTGATGTAGTCAGAGGTCTCCCCAGAGGACCGGAGCCAGCTGAAGTCTCGAGGAGTTGTCTCCGTGTAGAGACGCCTCATACAGTCACACAACATCATGTATTTAGGTGATAGCTATTAGCAGTTAGCACATAATACTTGTTTTATAACGGCAAACATTCTTTTCTTTTTAAATGGACCACTTCTTCAAGAAGATACATAGCTAGAGCATACCCAAGATCAAGTTTATTGTGCCACGCCTGAGTTGTCATGAATCAGCTGAAATGAATCAAATACAGTTCATATACCAGGGAGAGAGAGTGTGTGTTATTGCGTCGACACCAGGTTAACCCCCTTCTCTAAACAAAATGCGTCATCAAGGCACCTTTTGCACCCCACATGTAACACGCAATCAAGACGCTGTTTGAAATTCATTATTGTGTACTGCCATAGAGTACGACAGAAGCATGACAACCGTTTTTACATATATTTCAATTATCCATGAAAGACCGTCAAGTTTTCTCAGTATAGGCAGCATCAATGTAGAAATGCTTCTGCGATGTTGGCAGAGTGCGATGAATTTTCTCACTTGGTACGACGGGGTTGGCTTGCACCACACGCGTTGAACGTCAAGAATGTCTGCAGAAATAACACGGCAAAAATCTTTGCGCCATAATGATCAAGCATCGCCGCAGGCCTCGGCTGGATCAGCCACAAATATGGCTGAGAGCGGCCATCCAAGCGCACCATCCTCGACAGCCTTCCGCGAGAAAGTTTCGTATTCCTCTCATGGGGCGAGGGGAGAAGGCGTACGCAACTGGTCACGTTCGTGGTTTCGAGTGCGCATGCTCGCTCCTCGAGCAGACGGGGCCGCATATCGCGGCTCCCCTATGAGGATTTGTATATGCGTGACGGCTAGCGTTTACGCGTGATCGACGCGGCATTTTAAGCGTGTGATTTCCGTGGCACACGCGCACACGGCTCGCTCACGCTTGCACATGACAGGACCACCGCACGAAGACTTGCCCTCACGCTGACCTGAAGGAAGTGCGCGCTCACTTTTGGTCACGTGGTGCTTGAAACATCATCCGCGACTCATTTACATGGGCATCACGCTTAAATTCACGACTTAGCGTTGAATTAGGCTTGGTAATTTTAAGAGTGTAGGATGGTGTTTCAAGAATTGTGCGAAAATACTCGAATTAACAGAATTGAGATAGTTGCTCCCTGTATTGAACGTAATTTTTTCTCACATATATTAAGGTACCTACCGACATTAGGTAAATTGCAGCAGCTATAAAGTTAAGGTAATTAGTTTTTTATCAAAGGACACACATGATCGGCTGAAATGGTAGAACTGAGGTCCCTCCGACGTAGAGCCCATTCCCGCCTTGATATTCCACAGAGTGGCGACACTGGTCATTCTCTCGGAGGGATGAAACCGAACCTATTTAGCAAGCGAAGCAAACACCGAAGAGTGCAACCGCTGCACTCTTCTGAAAGGCCTATTGTGAGCTAGCGTCATTAAGGCAACCATCAATCGGTCTGCTTGGCTTCGCGAGTCACGGGCTGGGCTCGCTATGATAGTACGCATGGCTCACGAATAACGAAAGCAGAACGAACTTAGTCGGCAACGATGTCGTAATTCTGGTCGCCTGCTGGGGTACGTCACTTCGGCTCTTCAGTGCGTCGGTTTCGGTTTCTGCTGTGAATCTGATCAAGTTTCACCCCTCCGAAGAAAATGCCACCAACCGCTTTTGGGTAATCTCAAAGTGACATTAAGCTTTTCACAGGAAGCACTTTCTCTTCTTTAATCCGACTACTTGTCTCCTTCAATTGCGTAGTTAATTATTTTAATGTCATTTGTTCATGGTGTAATTTTCTTTGATCATTTTGAGATGTATACCACCACAGAGAAAGCACTGTTAAAGGGGCCCTGTGACGCTTTTCCAAGTAACTTTAAAATGCTTTCATTAAAGGAGTTTATCGGCTCACGAATCGACCACCGCAATTCTCCTGCAGGAGGATGGCAGGGGGAAAAGTTGTCACGCGCGCGTGATGATCTTGAGCACTTTACATTTCATCTGAATGCGCGATTTGCATTTAGTGCGATCGCGAGCGCGCTTGCGGGCACGTGGTGGCCTCTCACGGAGGCCGCTGTAACTATGCAGCTCACAATGCTCAACTGAGCTGATGGCCGTGAATTTTGGTATTTGGCAAGGTCAGTTGGGTGTATGGAATTGTTCGTATAGGAAGAAAAGAGAACGATTTATAGGTAACTATAGGCCGTGCCCTACGCTATTTATCGTTTAGCTGGCGTGTTCCGATGAGCCTCGACTACCAATCGCCAGCGTTTCTTGACCATGCTGAACAAGGGTGGCAGGGCTTCTTTAAGGCAGCGAGCGAAATTCCCCTTACTTTTGAGGATTTTTTAGCCCAGTTATCGCACCAGCCTCCATAATAAACGAACACTCAGTGTGCCGAACAGCGGCCAGGCTGATGGTACATTTTTGAAACTCTAATTTTATTTTCACATTAAAAAATTGCGAATGATGCGACTTGGCAAGTGCGGTACTTCACATAACGTGGTACATATAATTTAGACAAAATTGTCATGATACGATAATTGCTCGAAGTTTGCGAGCCAGAAAACATGCTTCATTATCCACCCCGCGAGTGCTTTGAAGACGCCGTTGCTACGTAGTCTCCGCAGAACCTTTGAGGAAGGAACCAAGTCGGTTTCGAAACGTCGCGTTTCTTCAAAACTTTTGTTTGGAGTATAAATCATCTCCCAGTTTCGTACCCAACCAGACAGACTTCTTTCAAATGTTTACATTCATGCTTAAATTGATTCGCAAGAGACACGTTTCGTCGTTAATGATTCACTACACCGCGAAGTTCCACCCATTCAATACCTAGCTTGACCAATTATACAACTGAGTCATTCAACCATGCCCGTTTTATTTACGCAAATTTCGAACAGATGCCAACTTATTTTTAGATTTGGTGCGTAGAACAGTGGAAAACGCCGCAGGGAAGTTATCTAGAGCCTTGCGTTCAGTAGCAGAACGCCATAACCATGGAACCATGTGTTTGCACGTGAGCATTGCCACTGGGATTTCTGAAAGCTACACTAATAGTGGAATGTGCGAATTTATGAATGTATCCTGATATAGAGAAGGAGGGGGGGGCACCCGCGCGTACATGGGCTGCCTGACTACGTATGTAGGGGTAAGTGTGTATTGCCGAGAAGAGGGGAGGGGTATTTATGTGCAGTTGTCTTGCTGGCCACGAGCCGGGAGAATCAGACCCCAATTAGAGCTTAGTCGAATCCCTCAGCTGCCCTTTCATCAGTCTTTTCCCCCGATACCACAATTCTGCAAATGGGAAGGGTGATGTGACCTAAGGCTGGCATGTCCTGGGACATACTCGGCAGTCGACAGAGTACAGTAAACCTGTTCCGAAGCCTAAACAGGAACTCCGACAATTTTTTTCTATTCATTAATTTCGATAAAACTGTAAGCATGTTATTCACATAAAAAGAGCGCAAATAACGAGGGACAAGAAAAGAACAAACAGACAGCGGCACTGACTTAAAACAAGATTTATTCGCTAGAACTGCGCAATATATAATTGAGCAGTATCTGACAAACAGGAGGAATGACAAGCGGTTATCGCGATGATTACTCGGTTGTTAGGTGATTTCTGTTTTCTTCGGTTTCTCACTCTTATTGGTCAGATACCGCTCAAGTATATATTGCGCAGTTCCAGCAAATAAATCTTGTTGTAAGTCAGTGTCGCTGTCTGTCTCCTTCATTTCTTGTCCTTCGTTATTGGGGCTGTTTTTATGTGAATAATGTCGTACCAACTTGCCCAAGCAACCACGTTAGCTACATTTATCTAAGCATGTGTTCTCTTTGGCACCCTGATAATGTGCACATGGGCCCAATTGTACAATCGCCCCTGATTCAGTTTTTTAGGCACAAAACTTGCAAAATTAGTAGCTGATTCCGCAATCGTGTTTGTAAACGCGGGCCACCCTGTGTATGTGACGTACGTGTCTAGTCCTTCTACCCCGCCTCGCCCAGAAGACGGATGCCGCTCACGTTTTCACCAACGAGGCGACGACGATGACGCGAGAACAGTTCGGATTTGTCATCTCCATAGTGTGTTAGTCTTCCTTGGCATCGGGTAATGTGGAGCAATGAGTAGATCAATGCGGGGCAAGTCAGCTGCTTCACGCTCCGGCGGCTCGAAATCCATGCTTCCATGTTCACATGGTAGCTGCAATCGTAGCTGAACTCGTCCCTGGTAAGGTTATATGAGCTGGCATGGCTGACTTTTCGCATGAGAGGAGAATCACGTGTGCTGTGTCCACACATTGGCCAGCATTGGCGGAGCGTAGACTTTGTTTTGTGACGTCATCGTATACCCACACGAAGCAGCTCCCTGTTTCGGTTTCAGTTTTGATTCATTGTTTATTGCGCATTAAAATTATTGATGAGTCTCTCGGCAAAATGAACCACCTTAGCAGGGCTTTTAAAACTATTTGAAAGCGGCACTATTTGTATATAAACAAAAATGCACCACAGTTCCCTTTTAACTGGAATGAAAGATAGTTTTGCCTAAGAAACAAAGTGCTTTACTGATCCCTGATAATTGCTCAACTTTGTAAATAAATTGCTTTGGTCTTTATTTTCTACGCAGATTGGCACTGAAGCCTGGTGTCGGTGTGGCTCTTTGGCCTACATGGCACCAGAAGTCATTAGACAGGAACTGTATGGTAAGCGAAAAAAAAAAAAAAAAAACTAGTGGCACACCTGCCGTGATACGTGCTTGAGCAAGAAACAACGCATGTTTTTTTTATTTATTAGTACCCCAAAGACCTCAGCTTGGGGTTTTGCATGAGGGATGGGCTACTTAGTGACGATGATTAGATGGAAAACTTGAGGGCTGGCGCGTCGGACTAGAGCATGGCGTCTCTATGTTCTAAGTAGTGCATTCAGTTCTTTACAATCTTCACAAAGGAGCGTAGGTACACTGCTTTGGTGTGATTATAGTGTGGCAGGACGGAGGATGAGCAGGCAAGGGCAATGAAGTGCTAAGAGTGGTAGAATGCGGCGAATATAGACAACCTCTACTCCACCTCAAAAGTTCCTTTCACCACTGTGAAGGCTAAAGGGCCCCTTAACCAATAGGAAGCGCGATTAGCTCCACCGCATATATTCATCCGCGTCGTGTAGTCTGCTCGGAGTTTCCGTGGCGTCTGCTCGTACGCATTGGGCAAAGAAAGCGAACCAACGAGCGAACAGACGGCATCGCCGAGGAATAAAAAATGGTTGCACTTCTCACAGCTAGTGCCCTCCGCTTCGAATGTATCAAACCATCGAATGCTGTCTGACCCGTCAGTTATAGACAGACACTTACTTGTATTAGCTTTGAATTTATCAGCTGATGCATATACATGCAGCTATTTATTCGCGATTATATTGCACAAATTCTTGACCCGTAAGGCTTATAAGGCGGGGCTAAGCAAACCAATTGTCTCACTAATAACGACGAAATGTAGTTGACACTTTGTCCTCAGCGTTAGTTGGCACAAAGCGATGGCTCACTTCACAATTCATTTGTTGCCGCTAGTGCAGTGGGCGAACAGCAAGTGCAAGTACGGATCGAAGCGGGTGATCGCGTTTGCGTGGACACTGCCATGTTGATTTTTATAACCACAATTAGCGAAAAGTTTCTGATGCAACAATGAAAAGCGTACTACAATAATGTGAAGAATAAACATATGTGGTATTTGTTTTTCAAGAAGGGACAAATGCAAAAATCGAAACGAGACTAAATTTCATGGAAGCGGAAAATTACGCCTAAATACCTTTGATGGATTGATATGCAAAGTTTAACGTCCCAAAACCACCAAATAATATATGTGAGACGCCGTAGTGGAGGGCTCCAGAAATTTCTACCACCTGGGGTTTTTTAACGTTTACCCAAATCTGAGACCTAAATATCTTTCACTTCTGAAACAGTTGCCATCAAAATGGGGCGATTCCTGAGTGTAACATGAGTTAAAAAAAAAGCAGTTTCTAGTCAAGAATGAGTCAAATACTCCTACTGTTTCAATAAGACTGAGCCACATTATTTAAACCAACAACAATTGTCACCAAAACAACTAATATGATCTCATTCAAAATGTTTCATTTCTGTCGCTTTGCTTTCGTGTTTACGTTTTACAATTATTTCTCTAAAGCGAGTGGGCACTTATACTGAAGGACATGATGTTCAATGTCAAACCTTGAATATAAAGAGTAAGAGGTCCACTTCTCTACTTCTTTCTGCCTCTTAGTGTTCCTATTGGGGTTCAGCGCTACAGTGTCATGTCAACCATTCGCTACAACGCGGTATATTTGAAATAAAGTACGTATGAAATGAAGATGCTGGGCACCGATATATTCGCTAAAGAAGAAGTGATCCGAGACAGCATGGCATAAACGAACTGGAACTCTTTTGAGGGCCTTCAATAGATGCCAAGAACAAGGAAACACCGACAGTCCAGAATAGTTCGCCTTTTGCCAAGAAGGACCACTCACTCTGCAAGTCTAGTAATCCTCATTACGCCCATGCGACGAAGCACGGCACTGACGGACGCACAAGGGTGCTGTTAATTTTATTGTGAAATATTGCTATAGCGTACATTCAAATAGGATCAGACTTGCTTTACGAGCTAATTAGAGCCCAAATGAAATGTTCCGATCCCTTGGAGCCAAATACAAACTTTACTCCTCAATACCGACGATGTTGGACTATGTAGATTTTAGCCACAGTTTATATTTGAAGTATTTAGGGGAGAGGAACATACTGGTTCTGAGCAGTCCTGACCACATTGTCAGCAGCAAAAAATAGTTTTTCTCAGTGTCAAGGTGCATTTGGTTATCTTAGGAAAAAAAGCCACTTATCGCGCATCGTTGAGGCGGAACACGTGGCAGACAAGCCTAAATGTCCCAAGCCTACCAACTGGAAGGTAATTGTCAGACTATGTTTCGCCACGCAAAATTGTAGCTTGCTTACTCCCCGTAGCCTTGGTAGTGCTGAACGGTAGTGGGGAGGTGAAGTATAGACATAAGTTCGTAGGTTCTTAAAATGTGCTTCGAGTTTTAGTTTTTTACCACTAGTGCGAAACGAGTAATCTGACTAGATATAGCGAGCTGCACGGATTTGTACTGCTTCAAGGGCTTTACCACCGTATTCTAGAACGCTCCTTCACTCAATGCTTCACCTTGACTTGAAAAAGTCGATAGGAGCGCTGTCTTCTGGCAGGCCAAGTCACTGCATATCGGCAATATTCTGCAGCGATTCTTGAGAAGCAGTGTCAATTTCAGTCGAGCAGCGGCGCAGTGCTCCACTCAGTCAAGTGAAGGGCGGAATTCGAGTCGAGGAGCCTTTCTGAATACGGGGATTAGAAAGGTTATCTCAATGTGGGTCCCAAGCAGAGCATGCGTATTTTAACTACGGGGCCAAACACATTTGAGATAAGGGAAGCAAGACGGAAGTGCCTTCTAAAGTGCTCATCAATGATGCTTCTGATGCGAGAGGACCAGGAAAGATGGCTGGAGACAGTAACGCCGAGGCACTTTCAAGCATGCACAGGAAAGATCTGAGGAAGATCTGAGATATGAGTGACATAAGGCATTCGTTACCCCAAGCAGTGATCTTATCCACCAAACAGTGATCTATCAAGTGACGACTCGGTGCCGCCAATGTGCGAACGCTTGGTCAACTGCATACTCATTAGCATTTTATTATAAATTCGTCATATAAAATTATGTAGTACATAATAAATTATGCCGATAATTACGCTAGATTCACTGTAGCAACTATAAACACATTGATTATAGCAGCAGAATCACTCCATCAAGTAATCAACATGCGGATAATCATCGTTCTGCAAACGAGACCGCCAGAAAGATTAACCCCCGTATTCTAGAACCTCCCTTCACTCAACGCTTCGCCTTCACTTGAGAAAGCCGATGGGAGCGCTATCTCGAGGTACGGCATTTCACTGCATATCAGTGATAGTCTGCTGCGATTCTTGAGTAGCGCAGCGTCATTTTCAGCCGAGTGATGGCGCAGTGCTCAACTCTGTCAAGTGAAGGGTGAAAGTCGAGTCGAGGAGCGTTTGTGAATACGGGGGTAAGCTTGTCTCTAAGCGCTTTAGCGCCTCTAGCTACACGAGCTGTCCAAGAAAATTGATCAGAACTTCATCATATCATTGGGCGGTGTAGGTAAACATTATTGCGTAATTTGAATGCGGTGAAAAGCAGTCCATAGTCGTCTCTCACAATAGAATATTGTTAAAATGTTATTTTTTAATTATTATATTCTTTACATTAACGTTTCTTACTTCGGAAAAGCGGTTTTTGAGTGCCTACCCAGCACCTAATGTCTCTCAATACAAACGAATGTCATCCTTTTATCGCAAGCTGAAATATTTAGCCTAGTACATATAAGCACCTGCATAGTTATAATAAACAGATCGCATAGATCATGCCGTGGTGTACCGCTACTCATGCACCCTAGCCACGAACCGATAACGCGAAGTCGTGGGATCTTAACGAAGTTACATGGTCTGCTGAAAAGTCTTCTGACGCTGTGTGTTATACATATATGTATTTGCAACGATATAGCGTTACATATAGCACGGAGTCAAAGTTCGGCACCATAGTTTCTTTTTTGTGCGTGCGTGCGGGAGCGCGTGTGTGTGTTTGTGTGACCCTCCGCGGTGACCTAGTGGCTGAGGCACTCGGCTGCTTACCCGCAGGTCACGGGATTGAATTCCGGCCGCGACGGCAGCATTATCGATGGAAGCGACAATGCTTGAGGCCCGTCTGCGTGAATTTAGGTGCACGTTAATGGACCCCAGGTAGTCGAAATTTTTTGGAGCCCTCCACTACGGCGTCTGTCATAATCATATGGTAATTTTGGTACTATAAACCCCAATAATTGTTATAATATTGTGTGTGTGTGTGTGTGTGCTTGTGTGAAAGCGTATGGCGTAGTGGCTGCAGATGCACTTCTGTTGAGAGATTTCACGTGCTCAGCGTATCTTGACGAGCATGCGGCAGAGACGTGTCACGCCGAGAACCAATTGCGTCGTCCGATGTTGTCAGGCCTGCGTCTTCACTGAGCTCTTCCCCAACAGGCATGTCCGCCGATTGGTGGTCTTTTGGCATAGTGCTCTTCGTGATGCTCGTCGGCAAAACACCGCTGGCCATCTACGCCTCCGAGAAAGGCGTCGACCTGCACCTGGCAAGGCGGGACATCCGCTATCGGCGTAAGTATAGAGCGTGCGAAACAGGCCTTCTCTGGGAAAACAACTTCACAGGATCAAACATATTCGTACCATATAACATACTCTTCGGCTACCGTTTCTTTCAGGCAAATAATAATGCCAAAGTTAGTAATATTATTATTGGCTGCCTAATCAATGAATTCTGAAACCGGCGTCTGACTAGCTGGTACTGAACGTCCCATAATCGAAAGAGCTCGCAACTTTGTATCCAAAGCGCAGAGCAGATGTCTTTTTATCAAGTACTTGACTAGGGTTGACATGCAGATGCAGCATCAGGGGCGCACCGATTCATCAATTGTTCTGCTCATTTTAATAGGTAAATACGGTTGAACTTGCGAGGCCGTCACATTGCTAATTTAGTGCTGCTTCGTCTACCTACGAAATTAACACCTCGAAAGTAACACTTGCAACATAGTTAAACATAGTATGCTGTACGATTCTAAAAAGAATGATACTTCTCACGTCCATGTTGCATTCTGGGTACCTTTTTGCCTCATTGCTCAGCCATTTCAATTTACTAGCGCAATAACTTGGCTTCCACCACACCCATATCGCAAGGTAGCAGCCTCACCGCTCAGTGTCGCCCATGTAAGTAAAGGCTCTGTTGGCGGGTTTTCGCGGCATCTTTCTCGCGTGGCAAAACCCGGGGCACGCGCAGCATTTGCCCCTCGCGTGAGCCGCAGCGCACATGCTGGCTGCGACCAAGCATCGACGTGAAGAATGAACGTAGGCGCCTTCACGTTGCAGCTTATCGTGTGCACCTTTCTTTCGTCAACGTCTCGAGGGGAGGATGACAGCGCCGCATGGACGAGCGAGACCCAGGAGCGACGGCCGAAAACACTACGGTCTACCGAGAGCTACACACTGCAGCCCAGTGATAGTAGCTGCTTGCTACTACCATGGAGCGCCATTTTCACAGTTCTCTTCAGGCAACTGACAGAGCCGCCGAAAGACAACAGTTTTCTTAAAGACGTCAGCGTGGCCCCGGAGGATATGCCTGGATACCTTTCGGAGCACCAGCCTCACGTCAAGTTCATTCTTCTCTTCACAAACTTCGCTTGGATTCTGGTGGCTCTTGTCGGCATGGCCGTGATTGGCGCCCGCTTTGCGAACCAGTGTGGCGGAAACAGACAACAAGAGGTGGGACCGAAGTACATGTATTACTACACAAAGATTCTGACTATCGTCGAGGGCGTCATCATTCTCGCCCTGTGTGCCTTCGTAGTCCTTTTTGCGGCGAATGACGGCCTAGGCGCCAGCATAAGAAATGCACCAGGATACTTCGAAAAGGCTATACACGACCTAAGGGTTTACACAAACCTCACGAGCTCTGAAATGAAAGTACCGATTAAAAGGCAAGTGCTTGCAACACGTCAGCGTTTATCCTACCGCGGCTTCGTTGAGTTCGTGGGGCATTCGAAGATGCCAATTGCGAAGAACTGGACAGACAAAGAGCTCAGGCGTGCCTGGGACGCTACCGAAATTGAGAGAAGACATACTGAAGAGCTCTTGGCAGACATTCCCATGACATCAAGGGCTGAAGGGAAGGCACCTCAAGCTAAAGCACCACCACCAGCCAAAGGGACCCCAACAGAGCAAGGCATCGCAAAGATGGCGAAACGGTTTGCATGGTTTGACGAAATGACTGGCGTGTGGGGATACTACGCGCATCCAATACTACGGCCTATCGCTGTCTACTCGATTGCAATTGCAGCAGTAGTGGCTGCAGTAGGAACTGCAATCGGACACAAACACCACTCGGAAAAGGTGGATCCCACGAAGAGGCACAAGGTATCGGACATTGCTGGACATACTTTGCTTGCAGCTGCGTTCATTATGCTCGTGTTTTGCGTAGCAGCTCTGCTTGTTCTCAAACGTAGCACTCCGCACGCAATTGCAGGCCAGTGTTATATTTGCGATATGTACAGGAGGAAGGAATACCAGCAGTTAGACTTCGCCCAAGATATAGCGTGGCCAGCTCAAGAAAGAGCTGACATATATGCCAACTTGTATGTAGGTGACGTGCTTCGGTACTGTGGCGGGGAGAGCGTACCAATTACTTTTTTTATGAAAAAGAATAAGGGAGCCTCAAGTAAAAAGGAAAAGTCAAAGGAAGACAAGAAACCTGAAACAGAGAAGTTCGCTTTACTGCTTCCTAGGAGAGCGCGTTTCAACTGTGAGACTGCAGCCTCGGTCGTTGAGAAGCGGGGCTTTTCTTTAAAGGGAGGTACCGTACGTTACCACAGATGTCCGTTTATGACTTCTGTTACCCGACAAAAGTCCGTATTAGGGACCCATGGACGTGGTACGGATGTGGAAAAAGCAGCTTGCAACTACTACATCTGTTCAGTTCTCGAGCACTACGCGCAGTCTTTGTATCCCGACTTTGCGGCCGGTGCTGCCGCAGAAAAAGCTGTAGTCATATCGAGGCAGCAGGAAGGGCCCGGCATGTGTGCCCCTGTGTTCGGAATCGTTAAATCTGGGTTTTCTTTATTCTGCGACTCATTCCTGGAGTACCTGAAGTCGATAATTCTCACTCTTTTTCTAGCCGTCCTACTAGCGTTGGTGGGCATGCCCGCATTACTAATGCTCTCAAAATATTATCTCACAATGATACCGCCTCCCGAACCTGTGCCAGTACCACCTCCTTCGGCTGCAGTCACAAAAAAGGCCAGAAAAAAGCAAAGCAAGAGTGGTGGCTGGTTTGGCGATTCCGGCGGTGATAACGGCAGTGATACTAGGAATAGTCAACTTGAAAAACAAATGGGTTTCTATAGCCACAGTGCAAAGCTAGGAAAGCTTCGTGCCAATGAAGGTGTCACTCATTCTGGCAGTTCATCTGAATTTATGACCGCCAAACCGAAGCAAAAGGCTAAATGTTCAAAAACAAAACTAAAGGCCAAGGGTGCAAAGTCGAATCTAACAGCCAAGGGTGCCAAGCCAGAACTAATCGCTGATACGCCGGAAAAGAAAGCCCTGAATAAACGTTCCTTTGAAGGAATTGAACGCCAACTAACGGGCATTGGAGGTCTGCGTCTCTTGGAATCGCCTGATGCATCCGACGAGTCGGTCACACTTTCATCGGAGGTGGGTGGTAGCGCTACGAGCACTGACAAGAAACTAGAAGAGCCTGCTATTAGAGTGAAAAACGTGAAGACTCAATTTAAACCAGAGTGGTGTATTGTTGACACTAGTATGATTACGATACCAATCTCCCAATTGGAACGGGCTCGGGATTTACTGACCTCCAGCAGCGCGGGTTCTTTATCGTCTAAGAAGTGCAACATTGAAATCGTGAAGCTCCCACAGAACTCCAGATGCCTTGTTCATGGCGCAGAGCCTGGGACAGTCATTCCGACCAGTTCAGCTGTCTCACAGCATTCAGCGAAGTCCAGCTGCGCTCTTACCGACGTAAGGCCTATGCAGCTTTATTGCCCATCTTCTGGGAAGTCACAGTCGGTCAATCCCACATCAGTTAAAGCTCCCGCAAATGGCAGAGAAATGTCCCACCTACCTAATAAATAAGTGCAGCATCAATACTGTTATCCAATGACAAATAAAAAAAAGATGCGCATGGCCAGTGTAGTGGAGCACGTGCTTTCTGTCTCGAATTTAGCGGGAAAGTGGCCGCACGCAGGTGCCGGCACGAGACCGCTCGTGTTCTTTTTTCCACCGGCCACAGCACGTGGCAGTCCCATCGAAGCCACTCCTGGGCAGCAGCAGTGATGACCCCGTCGGGGTAGAGCCTGCTCGATGCGGAACGACGGCAGCTTTTTGCCCGTTTGGAGCGAATTTGGTCGCCGTCTCGCTTTGACGCTCGTCTCCTCGCCCAAGAATGCTCAGCTTTTGGAACGAATCGGCAATGCTCGGGGACTCTTCAGCATCTGTGCCAGTCTGGCTGAATATCAGCCGTCCGTCTTCAGGTTGGCCGTGACCCTCTTCGCCATCAGCGGCTTCCTAGTGCCTGTAGGACTTGGATTTCTGGGTTTGCGTTTCATGGGAAGATGCGGAGGCCAGCGGATCCAGGTCATCACGCCACTCTACAACGAGTTGTACAACGGACACTGTGTGGCCCTCGGCTCGCTGACGATTACGTCAGTGATAGTCAACGTTTTGCTCGTGGGCTTCGCTTTCGGCATACAGAATTCCCTGCGCGAAGCATCAGCCTTCTATGCCCGCGGCTTGGACGACCTCGAAAGCTTCTTCCGCGCCACGCCCAAAGTGCGGAGCAAGTCTCAACTTGTGATAAGGAGCGCGGCGCTACAAGCGCAGAAGCTGGACTCTGATTTCAGCGAGGCCTTTGAGCAGTACCTGCTGCATAGGCTGGACGTGAACCCCTTCGAGACCAAGGGCCCCATCTGCGGTAAGCTGCTACGCGCCATGCTTGGCGAGCATTACGAGTTACGGAACACTAATTGTAGCGTCCTCGAACAGACGCAGCAACGGCTAGTGCATAACGCCACGGAAGCGTTTAAAAAAAAGACAATGACCGAGAGACGACGTTTAGCACGAGCGCTTAGGATGAAGGCTTTAACCGTTCAAAACGGTGGAAACGCCAGTCGCAAGAAGATTGCTGACATTAAGGTCAAATTTCAAGACTTTGAGCAGAGGTTTCGTTTGCGCCACCTTTTTGGATCCCTCGCGCCGCTCTTGATGATGCTTCTGTCCATGGTTGTTGGCTCCGTAGCAGCTTTTTTGGTGGTCGGGCTGGCCACGGGAATGCTCAACCACGACCGTGGCAAAGGGCCCACACTGCGCAACGGATTTTCTCATAAGGCAGGCCTAATTATGCTTCACTGTCCCATCGTTCTCTTTGCGTGCAGCATTTTAGCTGTTCCTCTGGCTGGCGTACTGCTTTCCGGTTGTGTCGTTGGCGAGTGTTACATTTGCGAGCCATATCGGGGTAAGGAAAGACATATACTCGACGAAGCCACAATAAAACTGCTTTCTGGAGACACCACTCTCCTTCCCAGTAAGATATTGCACTCTTGCTCGGACCGGAGTAGGCTAGAAGTGAGACTGCGTGAGCAGGTGGCTGACATCCCGACGTCTTCGGAAATGCTACATAGAAGTGCGGATCAAGAATGCACCGACAACTTCACTCAAATAGGCGAGGACCTCGCTGTCAATTCCACCGCCGATTTAAATGCTGAAATACTTGAACCGGCGTTGTCGGATTTTTATGTAAATATGGTCTCCCAAGCAGAGATAACGCTTAGCCGATTGGAAGGAAAGAGCCGAAAGAGCGCAGCTGCTCAGTGCCGCATTGTCTACAAGGTGATGAATCACGGCTACAGCTTGTTCTGCGGGACACTACTTGGCAACTATCATGGTGCTTGGAGCAGTCTTCTCTTTCTCGCTGCCTTGCTTATGGCTACCGCTGTGGTTAGCGTGCGTTTGTCCAAATTTCACCTCGTCATGGACCAGTACTGCTACGCTGGTTGGGACAAGCGCATCTTGCGCAAGTCGCCGAAGAGACGGAAGGCACTGAGCAAACGTCCTGTTCTAAAGAACTCCGTGGAAAACTTATCGTCACCTGCTAGCAGCGAAAGCCTGGAGAAAGACGAGTGCGATGACGCCGAAGCTGACACGACTTCAGTGGAGACGCGGGAGCATCTCAGTGACAGTGACGAAGACCCAGGCTCTGTGGGAGGCTGGCATTCCGAGGCTTGGCTTCTCGGCTCGGACAGCAAGGGCCCTTCTTCGTTGACCGCAGCACACGCGGATAACAATTCGTTCACTGCATCCGACAGCGACTCGGGGCAGACAGAAAGCGTTGTGGCTGCTGCCGTTGAAGAAGAGATGACCAACTGTTGAGGTCATCCAGCTTGTGTACCTCATTACCGTTACTGTTTGTTTTTCTTCTCGTGGGTGCATCCGAACATTTCAGCGTGCGCTGTGCTTATGTGGCTTTGTGCTTGTTTACCTTTTTCTCGTCTAATTAGTGGCCTTGATTGCACCATTGAAAATTCCGAGGACTTTGTCGAGGTCTGCACAAACGCTGCTCAGAGAAATCCTAAAAGAGGTAAGAAAGCTTATCAATAATATCGCTATATGTGCAACATGTTTGGCTTCCCTAACTTGCGCGCGTTGAAGAAATATATGTGCCAAATGCATAAACAAGTTATCAGTTTTTAAATGTGTAATGTCAAGAATATATTGTGAACCTAAATTAACCACTTTTGCAAGATGTGGCGAACGACACTACGCAATGTAATAATTTTGTTTATATGCGCAAGTTTGAGGTAATGAGACACTTAAAAAAAAGCATTCGCTAATACCCAATATATTTTAAGAAGAGTGTCTGGTCACCTGTACGTTTATTTAATGCAGCAGTAATTGGTAGAAAAATGCTTACAGTTTGTTTTAGCGAACACTATCAAAATGAAATAAGTACTTGTCTCATCACGTGTGCTTGCGTTGAAAAAATGCGAGTATCTCTTTTTTTTTTTAGCGCGCTCCTTTGTGATTAAGTGATCTTCGGGCAGTGAAAAAAAATTGAAACAGTATTAGCGCTCGCTGACGATGTGCCATCTACACTTAAACGCTGCAATTTATTTGCGTCAAGCACACCTATTGAACATACGGGCAGGCAAAATGGTTGCTACATCTCTTCTAGCAAGCACACTTCTCAGCATAAAAAAGGAAAATTTTCTGCATTTGAGGTGGGAATATTCAGTGGCATTGTTATTAAGCAATATAACTACTCGCCCACTTTTTTTTTACCTTACGGCACCGTACCTTTATTAGCCACAGACGACCCTTTCTCACGCGTGAACGTAACACAACTTCTAAATTTACGTAGAACAAGCTCGTTATTACCTCCAGGCGTTTACGTCTTTGCTGCACAATTCGTGGCCCCAGCAGGTTGCTCAAAGAATGAGATGAGCTATCAATCTGCCGTTCTACGAGAGAGATTTGTTGTGAAGTTTCTTCTACTTTGCTTTGCCATGCCTGTTCGGCCTTGTCTTGCGTGACCATCGTGCACGATAAACAATTTTCCATCGTTCTCTACGTTTGCAACTGCGCGGGCGGAGATAGCACCGTGTAGTCGAGAAGCGCAAAATGCTGACTGGCTCAACGCTTATTTTGTTTGATGAAGAAATAAGTGGTGAGTAGCAGAGAGCGTTTGTAGGAAGAGTAGTGAAATGCCCCAACTGCAGCCTCGCCTTCGAGCTCGTTGTGATTTGGGGACCCTTTAATAGTGTGCCGTAAGAGTCTGCCAGCGTGCTTGCACGCGCGCGTATATCTCGTTGCTCAACTTCTGATACGGTGGCCGATACGCAGATGCTCCTAAAGTAAAACAAAGCACGCTAGGTGTGCCTAAGTTGGCGAAAGTGAATGCCAATGCACTCCATCGGAGAAGTGGCTCTTCTCTGATGGAGAGCGCTGGTATTGACTATTGCACAGCTTAGCCACAGCTAGTGTGTTCCGTTTTACTTTAGAAGCGGAGTATTCTGCCGCGTGTGGAAGCACGGCACGACGTCGTATATTTGGGTGCCTCCTTTTCGTTGCCCCGGGGTCACCCATTTCGCAAAACAGGGCCATACGGGCCGCATGTTTGTTTTCAAGAAGTGCTTACTGTGGTATATGTTTTTGCCTTTGTAGAATCCCAAAAGGAGGCTGGGATGCAGACCCGAAGGAGGATTCGACGACCTCATGAAGAACCCGTTCTACGCCCCCATCGACTGGTCAGAGGTCTCCTGTGAGTATACACCTTTTTTTTATTCAATATTACATTTACTCCCACCACGGTGCAAAATAGGAAGGTGTACTGATGGTCGCGGGTAGCTCGTCTCCCATGACTGCTTGCGCTAGATATCGCTACAGAGGTTATACCATTATCTGGGATTTTACATCACCAAACCACACACAAAAAATGATTATGAGAGACACCACAGTGAAGGGTTCCGTGAATTTTGACTAATGCTGCTCTTTAATGTGCGCCAACATTGCACATTACACGTGGCTCTTCTATTTCGCCTCCATCGAAATGCGACCGCAGAGGCTGGGAGAAACCCGCCACCTGCCGGTCAGCAGCCGAACACCGCAACCAGAAGTTATCGTCCAGTGCCATTTCGGTTACGGCTTCAGTGTAAGCAATCCTAATATCGTGCTTCATTTTTGCCCTTCCTCAAATTGTTCTCGCAGGAGTATACTAGCCGTTTAGTTATCCGCCGTGATATCTAAGTACGTAAAGGTGTCGTGCATGTGATCTCGATGGCACCGGCTTGAACGTCGGTCACGACGTCCGCAATTAGAATTCACCGAAGGGCAAAGAGCACTTGTGTGCAAAAACTTGGGTGGAGGAGAAGGCCAGGTGGTCGAAATTTATCCGTAGCCCTCCACAGCGGCCACCTCGAAACCTGACGTGGGTTTACTACGTAAGTCTGCAGATAATGAATGCGCAGCATTTCTGAGCGAACCACTTGGACCCTCACTATCCAGTCGCCTACGTTCAAGTGCATGTGTGTTCGTTTCCTAAACTTTGAATATACCAACATTTGCTCAGGACTCGAGTACATAACGAACAACTTGGCTCGCATGCCACGACGTGAATAACTCGCCTGCCACGTGCGTTATGACACTCTCTCCACCAGTTATGTGTGGCACATACCCGCACACATGGCTTTTGCTATGCGGGTGTGTGCCGCAGGTGAAACCCTTTAAACCATATATGCCCAAACTTAGGAAAATTAACAAAACTAATTTATTTCCCCAAAATGATTGCTTCTACTACCTCAGAAAACAGAATAAGACTTTTATTAAAAAATACTCTTTCAAACAGTGATTTTGGAACCATCCTGTATGTAGAACACCTATGTTTGATACACTGTGAAAAAAAAAAAAAAACATTCCCACCTATCACAGTCACACCAAAGTTACTGCACACCCAATAACTGACGAACAGTCGACAAAAAAGTAAGCAGCATCGAGAACAATTTAACTCTATATTACTTATATTTTTTTTCGCGGTGTGGCGCTCAGCTACAGGCACGTGAAATGGCCATTCTGTAACTGCAAGCACGTGGATATTTGTAGCCCAGTGATCACCTAGACTTGCATTTGACGAGGGCAGGGCATCATAAACACACATTAGGTGCCGCTACCTTCTTTACAGGAAAAAAATATTTGAGTTACACTGAAACGTTTCACCATCCTAAATGTAGGAAACTGGGCATGTATGAATTAACAGGGATAATGAACAGAAGATTCACAGAAAAATAATAATAATGATTTTGTTTTGCTGGAGATTTACGCGCTAAGATAGGATATGATTGTGAGGCATATTTTGCCGGGGGAAGAGCTCATGGTGTTGTTCGCATTTCGCCCCCTTTGAAATGGAGCCACCGTGGCCGGATGTCGAACCCACGCCCTCGTGCTTAGCGGCACGACAGTTTGGGCTAAGCTCTCGCGGGGGATCGATTTACAATGCACTTTGCGTGAGATAGAGAAGATAGACATAATCGCTCGTTGCAGTTGGCTTGTAATCAGCAACACCGATAGCATGTATACACGTAACTGTACAGCTTACACAAAGCGTTCAGATTCAAACATGTGACTGCTTCATATCAAATAGACTCCCACAATGAGTGAGAGCTGCTGGAATTACGAAAATAACTGTACCACTTAGTGAGCAGAAGCATGCATGGCCTATATGCCGCTTTTAGAAACTGTATTTGCTCGCTGTCATTTCGCGCAGAATCACGATAATTAACGCTCATGAGAGCTGTCATTTGGGAGAGAAGATACAGCATTATTTTTTCGCGGTGAGTCAGCGCTATTGCATCGCTGTGGCAGTCGCGGCCACGACAGTTTAAGCTACATATTGTTTACCACATTCTTTGCGAAACTTGTTTTATGCACATCCGAACAACATTATCACTGTTTTATTTACAGACTGTGTAATCGCACGAGGCCAATGGTGATGTCAATTTGAACTTAAATGGAATTTAATTTCGCCAATTAGAACGAGAACACGAAGAGTACCACTAGTCGATTGTTCACGCGTTCACCTTGTATTGAAAGTAAACGCCCTGTTTTGTGTCCTTGTGACACTAGTTGAGTGGCTGTGGAGCCATTTTTCGCATTCACTTTCCCATAGGTAATTCGATTTGGGTGCAGGATACACGTTATCGATCTGTTGCGTTAGTTTCGTGAGGTTTGGACTACTAAAATCAGGCCAACTGTCCTTTTACGTGCGTCTGTGGTGTTTGTGGATCGCAACGTAGGGCTCTGTGCTCGCCCCACAGTAGCGACAGAAAAGTAAACACAACTAAAATTTTATAAAAAAAGGCAATAAGATCAAGCGCTGCCCGAAGTGTTTCGGTAAACGCCAGAAACAAATGTGACACACCTCTCAAGCAAGTTTTCTTGCTCCGAATACAACCCACGCAGCCCGAAAGTGGACGCTGTCTCACGCGAAGTTCGCAGTAGCCCAGTTCGAGCGGCCAACCATATTTCAAACGTGACCGAGCCAGGCCCCTTCTCTGACCCCCGTATTCATAAACGCTCCTTCACTCAAGAGCTCTCCTCGACTTGAAAAAGCCGATGGCAGCGCCGTCTCTTGGCAGACCAAGTCACTGCATGTCGGCAATATTCTGCAGCGATTCTTGAGGAGCGCAGCGCCAATTTCAGTCAAGCAGCGGCGCAGTGCTCAACCCAGTCAAGTGAAGAATGGAATTCGAGCCGAGGAGCGTTTCTGCATACGGGGGTGAGACGCATTTACTGAGGCACATTTGCCGAAAAACATACTTATCGAATTCATTCCTACGGCATGTGTTGCTGTACCTCAATGTATACGATTTCAACTTGGGTAACGTCGCTGTTTTGTAAGATTTTTTGTTGTCAAGTCTCGAGCCATATTCAGTCACAAATGTTCACTTGTGCGTTCTGGTGGTAGTGCTGGCTGATAAAGAGTCTAATACCGCCTACTAATTTTTTTTTGTAAGAACATAGGGTTTGTAGGTGGCTACCAAACGGGCAATGAAGTAGATATGAATGTAGTTTCAGCATCGCGAGCTATTGCGATTTTTCGGTCGTGTTTACGCATTACGCCACGTACGACAGTGTCCAGATGACGACATGGCAGACATTCTGGATAATTTCAGGGTTACATTGTGAACGATAGGGGATTGAACACATGTGAAAAGGAACCACACCACCATGTCAAAAGATGATGCAACCACGGACATACGGTAGGAGTCGGGAAAGTAGAGATAAAAAAAGAAACGCGACTAACAGCGGGAAAGGCGCTCAGCGGCGGATAAGAAAGCTACAAAAACATATCTGCGCGTGTTCAGATAAGAGGTGGTATCTAACAATGCACGACGCGTGGGGGTGTAGGCGAGAGATAAATATTACGGCACCCTTATTTATGCAAGTTAATCAGCGGTTTATTCACGCATGCACCACCACTTTTACTATACGCCAGGTCTCTGCGTGTTTCTTCCTTTCTGTGTGCTTGTATAAAACTGTGCATGCCAACAATGAAAAGATAGTTTAGCTGACAAGCCTCCGGTTAGTGACCTCTTATGCTTTATCAATCTCTGGTTAACACAGCGGCCCGTCTGCCCTACGTTGAAGCGGCCGCGGGTAGAAGAAACTTTACACACCACACCTGTACGGCAAGTGCGCTTTTTTGTCTATTACCCGCTCATTCACTCTCTGCTCGGTGGTGCATAACATGCATAGCTTATTGGCAGCCGGGAAAATAATATTTACGCCGTATCTCCTTCGCCCTTTCTTTAGCCTGAGAGATTCGGAATTAATGTGTACGGCACACGTACGAAACGTGTCCTGCTATCGCTTTATGCAACATTCATGCTCGCACTTAACAGAACAGACTTCCTTAAACTTTCAGCGACAGTGCATGGTCACTGAAACGCGATGATAACGTACATGTTAATGTCGAGTAACTTTTTCTCACTTTTCCGCCGCTGTGCACCTTTTCAGTTGTTGGCCCGTGTTAGCGTTTTCAAATGCGGAGAGTTAAGAGGGTTCTTAAAGATGTGTGATTTGGAACGAGTGGCGCATAAGAAATGAAAGTAAAAGACACAGATAAAGAGTCCTGTCTGCGGCCCTGTCTAAATACGATGCTGTTATTTTTTTTTGTACGCGACTCATTTGTCGAACTGGCATCTCTTTTGACCATGTTTGCACGCTACTATGCTGATGCTGAAACATGAACAGCTAGCTTAGCATTATGCCGCACTACCATGTCTCCATGCCTATATGCATTCCTCTACGAAGCGATAGATTCTTGCGTTCTATGATCGTCTATTCACGATCTCGACTGAATTCCTTGCAGTCTGTATGCAGCGGTTAATCTTGAGCACGCCAGATCGTATCATTACACCAAACAACAAGCTAGTAAATACAACAACATCCAAAGATGGTTTCATGCTCGAACCCTGACATGTACTCCATCGTTAAATATTTCGCAAAGTGCTCAGTTGCCAACCCGAAGGTCACAGGTTCGATCCCTGCCATGGCGGTCGCATTTCGATGGAGACAAAACGGTAGAGGTCCGTGTACTGGGCGATGTCCGTTCGCGTTAAAGAACGCCAGATGGTCAATCTCTCCGGAGAACCTACACTACGGCGTCTCTCATAATCATATCGTGGTTTTGGCACGTGACACACCCGATATTATTGAATATTTCGCAAGATCACTCCAAGTGAAATAAAAGCCTGTAAAGGTTGA